CGTAGGAGAATGGTTTACTCAATCAGTTACAACCATTAGATCTTTTAATTTTGATATGAACGATTAGATGTAGATAAACAAAGTGATGTGACAATTTTTATTGGAGATTTATATGTGGAAATTATTCTCTCACGGAATGTAGTATTTTCTTATAATTATATTATATGAGTTAGGTTTATTTGCCATGATTGAAGTCAAGGTAAAAAAGTAAAAACAAATCACCTCGATTAAAAGACAAAAAGGAAATTATCTCAAGAAAACGATGATCACGATTTTTGAACTTATTTATAAAGGTTCGCATTCACCTACTCCACTAGCTTGACCAAGTCACGAGCCCGATAAATACTCTTAATTTCTGGCCTTTTCATTTCACCAAAGCTCTAATTTCTTAAAGTAAATTCATCATCAATGACGAAATTAAAATTAACTAATATATTGTATTTTAATCATTTCATTACACCCAAATTAAAAAACTGATCAAGTCATATAAGGTAATTATTATTATATCGTCGTCTAATTCGATCTCTCAAGCTCAGCCTCATAAGCCTAATACAGTAACAGTGTAATACGCCCACTAATCATGATTAGTGTCTAGTGAATTTTATAATGCTAATTATCTTGGCTGACGTCATGATGCTTGTCTGTTACTATTTTTATTATATGGCTAATTAAATTAAAATTAAAAAAAAAAAGGCTAATTAAATGCAAGGATTAGCACGTAAACTGGGCCGACGACCGATCAAATATAAGACATTAGAATAGATTTGATATAACACTTTAATACTCGCATGTTGCAAGAAGCGTGCAAGAGATTATTAATTTTAATAAGAATAAAATGTTAGAAGGTCAAATTGTTTTGATTACTAAAATAATTTTCAATATAATAGTTAGTATGGTTATTTAATATGAAAATGATAGTCATTTGTCTTTATGCTACTTTTACTAGACTCGGAAATTTGAATTAATCACATCAATTTTTACAGTAAAAATTGGAGTGATTAATTCCACACCGAAATTAGGGCTTTCTAAGGCCAATTTTTTACTTTCATATTGAATTACCGCACAAACTTTTATATCCATTGGTAAGGATCGATTTGGTGTACTCCGAAATTTTAGGGCTTTGTATTAGGGATTTAAAATATTTTTTTATATTTAAAAGAATAATTTAGAAAAAAAAAATATGACATTTTTGAACAAAAGATTGTGGAATTAGTTGTTTTAATATGTCAAGCAACTAATTATTTACCAAATATTTTATATGAATTCACCAATTCAAGGAAATAATTAAAACTGCTAATTCAATTGGTTATTGGTATCAGCTAGTTAAATTAACTGTCCCATTAAGTGCCAAGCGGGGCCAAAATCATTTATAAGGCCAAAATTGAAAACTAAAAAGCTTGCATGGCCGAATAACCCAAAGTTGAGAACCAATATTACTTTCGCATATATATTTTCATCTTGAAACAAATTACTCATAATATGTGCTTGAATCAATGCGGAAAATTAAAAAACTTATGGAAAACAGTTTGCTTCATGACTTACTTTAGAATAAAAACCGCACTCTTTTTAAGTCTTATATTATTATAAACTAGCTAATCTAAACATTTAATCAAATATTATATAGTGATGACATGTTATATTTACTACTTTAATTTTTTTTTTTCTTAGCAGTCTAGTCAAATAATGAAGAGTTGTAACAACTAACAACATGGTAATGTGTCCATTCATTATTTTCCGGGCCCAAACCCAGAATCAAACTGTCCGAGTAACTACACTTGTATTTGGGCTTTATAAATTACAGATTGGGCATTAATCATATGTGATTGGAGGCTCCTACCGGTGAGGCTTGAGGCCTTTTCGGCTTCCAGTCTCTCCACGGTCTATGGGCTTTTGGGAGCTCAAGTTTGGGCCTGAGTCTGGTCTTCTTGTTAGATCTGCATAGTCTTTTGATTATGATTGGGGTTGACAGGTTTGAGAGCTTTATATCTGTTGGTCTCATTTCGTCTTTGGATTTGAGGACTGGTGTGTATGCTTGGGACGAGTAGAAGCTGCAAGAGGCCCTCTAGTAGGCATGTCATTAAAACCCATAGGGTATGGTTACCCGTATTTCTGGTTTGGGTCAACCTGGGATGACCGGGTTTCGGGCTGAGAACAATAGTTAAAAAACCATTTACCTGCAAGCATTGAATCTTATATATATATATATATATATATATATATATATATATATATAAGNNNAGGTCCTTATGAGAAGAACATCATGATGTGAGAAATAAGAAGAGATCCTGGTCATTCATTATTATCAAATGGATGATTCATATAAGAACTCTTATCATGTCTGATAAGTAGGAAACTGCCGAGCAAGGGTGTTTAAGTCACTACAATTTTGTCAGTTAGTGAAGTGCATAGTGGACCAATAAAACAAATTAAAAAAATAAATAATGTCATCTCTTAGACTCTTTGTTGGTTCTGGTCTACGATTTTACAGAGTACCACAATAGAGTGCACATACTATCTCATTTCATATTAGAATTGATTTAAAAATTATAATTTAAAAAGAAGTAAAAAAAAGAACTAAAATGAATTAGGCTAAAATCTAAATATACTTCATGTTGTATGGTGTGTTCGGATTTTAGTCTTTAGTGTTTGCGGTTTTGTTGTCTCTCTTTCTATGAGTATCTTGGTTGTAGTCTTGTATGTTGTCAACTCCCCTTGGTCGATTGTGTAAAAAGTGAGGTGAGCCAAAACTTTGTTCTTGTTCTTCTGATGCCAATTGATATCGGTTATACTCTATTTTCGAGTTTTTTTAAGTGTAGTTTGATAAAGAAAATATTATCAATATAATTAAATGTTATCAACTAATCATTATCACACAGTTTCCAACAAACTCAAGATCAAACCAAAGTCTCCATTCAACTTTTTTGTTTATAAATTAACCAAACTTAGTATAAATCAAATAAAACAATAAATAAAAAAAAGTTAAAAATTACTTCCAACTGCATTCTTAACTTTAAAACCTACGAATTTCGAGAAATTTCGTCCAATATCGTAGTGCCTATACAAGTTTTATCACTTCTTTTTTATTCCACATCATTATAACTATATGAGTGTGTGATTCGGATCCTATGTGTTAATTTTGACTGTTTAAAATTGGTATGTGTGAATTTATACTAAATGATAAAGATTAAATTTGACCATAATATATTTAATTTAAACAATGATAGGGTGATTTCATTAACGTGATATTGTGTAACATATGAATAACATTTCAAATAAAAAATGATTCAATTTCAATATAAGTGTTAGTAAGTTTAAAAATATCACATGATTATTTTATTTTTATTTTTTTGAATATATTTTTTAATTACACCGTATGTTAGTATAATTAGACAAATTAGTGCTTAAAGTCAACTTTTTTATTAATTACTTTTCCTATAAATTATGCTCCATGTTTCTGGAAATTTTTTGGTTGTGGAGCCCCTTGACAAAGTTACTTGAATCCAAACAATAATGACCTTGACTTTGGTAATCACGGACAACTGTATCAGTAAGTATGACTCTTGATTTGTGTAATGGCACTGTAAATAAAATTCTTCCTCCGATATTATTAACCTAGAATTATGTGGGGGCTACTTGTTGAAGTTTAGTAAATAAAATCTTACCTAGAGATTTGTTTGGACGATTAAATTCTAACTTTTGGATTAACCTGTTGTAAAAAAATCAATTAAACGATTAACCTGCTCTTAACTTTATTGACTTTGTACCTGACTAGAGACAAACCAGCACATGACTTATACCACCACTACAATCGTGCATTTTCTACCCACCCTCAATCAACATTGTACTTTCACATTTCCCAGTGTGACTTTATGAATTGGCTAGTTAGTCGAATCCAGTTGTTCGTGAATATAGTTCATTTATCTCGTAAAAGTTCGAGTTTGACTCATTCATTTATTTAAATGAAGAGGTGTGATCGAACAACTCATCGAGTTCGTTTATTAATCAAATCTACATGTCTAGTTGTTTGCGAATATAATTTGGTTTTATTGATGAAAACTCGAGCTCGACTCATTTATTTATTTAAACAAGCCAAACTTGAACAACTAATTAATCGAATTCATTTATTAAATATGCTGAAACGAGTTGTTTGAGAACAATTTGGTTTTACTAGTGATAGCACGAGTTTGACTAAATCCTTTATTTAAACAAACATTACTCAAACAACTAATCGAGCAGTTTATTAAACAACCAAATCTAAATTGTTTGCGAACACAATTTGGTTATTCTAGTGAAAGCTCGAACTCCACTCACTTCTCTACTTAAACGAGTCTTGCTTGATAACTACTCGAACTTCTTTATTAAATAAGTCGAGTTGAGTTGTTCACATATATTACTTTGTAGAAGAAAAATAAATATTCAAACTAAGCGAATTCACAAATCATATTCGCAAACAACTCATATTCAATTATGAGTTTGTGAGACAAAACCTATATGAGTCGAGCCAAAACAATTTATTTATTAGCCGCACAAAATGCTCGACTCCACTCTGTTCGACTAAAATTTCTAACCTTAGAGCATCCACAATGCTTTGGGTCTCTTTTTGTATATGTGGCATATAATTGGACTTGAGTTTTAAATGACATGGACAAACCTAAGTAAAAAAACTCAAAAACTTTGCAATGCAAAAATAAAAAGACTAGGTCTAGCATACATGCCAACCAATAGAAATGCTCTAATATGTTTTATTCATTAAAAAAAAAATTAAATTAAGAACAAATGATGAGTGTTTGGGTTTGTACTTGGGTCCAAAATAGACCCAAGTGTGGACTTGGTCTCTTTTTTTCATTGCCACATAAGCTAGACCATGTCCATTTTTAATTGCATTGAGAAGTATTTTTTTATAGACTAAGTTTATTTCCCATGTGGCATGTGATTTTTTTGTTAATAGACCGCATTGTGAAGAGACCCTTATGGCTTATGGTATCATTTTTTGACACAACATGAACTACTCCCCAATAAAATACACATTTTTTCACAAATAGTAAAATGAAAAATTCTAGTTGAAAACCGACGACCGTATCTTTTTTTCCACTGACTACAGTCTTCCTCTACATGTTCACTTCCCTCTCTCCACCGCTAAATGGCTAGAGCCAAATCCGGCCGCCGTAATCTCGACTCCTACACCGTCAAGCATGTCGGAAAAACGATCCGCGGTGAGTCACCTCGCTCTCATCTGTTTTCGCTTCCCAATCTTAGCTCATTTGCTCCGATCGACTCGTGTGAGTTGTGTAATTTTTAGTTGATGTGATTGACTGATTTTTTCTTTACTGTCCCGTGCAGCCGGCGACTGCGTCTTGATGAGGCCTTCGGATTCATTAAGGCCGTCGTACGTGGCGCGCGTGGAGAGGATCGAGGCCGACAGCCGCGGCGCGAACGTGAGGGTCCACGTGCGGTGGTACTACCGGCCGGAGGAATCGGTCGGCGGCCGCCGGCAGTTTCACGGATCGAAGGAGCTGTTTTTCTCCGATCACTTTGACGTTCAGAGCGCCGAGACGATCGAGGGGAAGTGCAAGGTTCACAGCTTCAAGAGCTACACTAAGCTGGATGCAGTTGGAAACGACGACTTCTTCTGTCGTTTTGAGTACAGCTCGTCCACTGGCGCCTTCAATCCAGATAGAGTCGCCGTGTAAGTTTTGAGTTAGTGTGCGATTTGGCTTCACTTAGTATCAGTGATGAGTAAGTATTACTTGGAAAATATTAGTTGGTTCGATTGATATCGTTTTACTTATGTTGGGGAAAAATTTAATTACTGTGATTTTGATAGTATAAGTAGTTTTCGTGCAATACTGCCAATACATATAAATCGTTCTATGTAGTGTTGATTTTTAACTCCTTGTGATGTGTTGAATTTTTTGTGTTCTTTTTATCGGTAAGTGTTTCTTCTATAAATGAATTTGTGTAGATGGAGATACTTTGGCTTAGTTATATAAACATATTTCAATGCTTGAATATGTTCTTTTTGATCTGAAGGTTGTTGTCAAGTTGCTTGTATAGTATTGTGGATGAGTAGTGATAAATAGGACTTAACTTGCTGTTACAGACTTACAGTTCCAAGCAACTGAAGTAGTACTAATATGTTATATGATGTCTTCCACATTCCACCTTTTCACATATTTGAAGATGAGGAAGCTTTCTGGATCTGGATCGACTTTTTTCACCTTTTTCAAATATTTGGTCTCGAGTTGCTAATTCCAAGTGTCTTGAATTAGTGGCATTTGTCGTTTTGTTCTCAATATAATGAAAGATGTGGTACTTCCGTTCTAAATTGTCCAAAGAGATTTGAGCTTTCTTTTTTCCCAATTAGTTTTTTACTTCACTCATTGTGCTGATGCAGGTACTGTAAGTGTGAGATGCCCTATAATCCTGATGATCTTATGATTCAGTGTGAAGCATGCAGTGACTGGTGAGTTTGTGCTGAACTTCAACTAAAATTACTTTTAGTTCATTTCTTAATTGTTGGTGCATACCTAAAACTACAACTACTGTGTAATGAAGGGAGTAGTAATTACAACTGCACATTGAACGTGGGAGTCACATATAGCAAATGCGGCGAAACATAACATTATCATTCATAATGCATTTCAACTGAATGAAAAATAGAATGATATGATGCTAAAAGATATAAAGGTTTTTACATTGGCTAAGAGGTCAAGGGCTCAAGTGATGAACCAGCACACTATTGGTAGTTTTTGGCAGAATAGTAATGATGTATGTTTCCCTTTGGAATGTCATCTAACCTATTTAGCAGTATATTGAATTTTTGAATGTCATTGAAACATACATTTCTCGACTCTTGGCTCAGGTTCCATCCAATGTGTGTAGGCATGACCCACGAGGAAGCCAAAAGACTAGATCGCTTCCACTGTATTGATTGTTCCTCTGAAGATCAAAAGAAACTGCATGATAACCATGTTTCTATGAGACAGGCTGATGTCAAGGTAAGTCGTTAACATCGAGTATATTTTTCGTGATTCATTCTCTTTCTCCTCCCTTTCTAATCAAATAATGATATTTCATGAGGTTGAGCCTATTCCAAGGACCTTTGGTAATAAATTGACTGGCAGTTGGATACAGTTTGTATTAAGCTTGAATTTACTTGCATAATTATAAGACACCTGGACATTTTAATATACAGTGAAATTCATGGAAATGCCATATTTAGCAGAGAGTATATGTTTGAATTATTCTCTTTTCCTCTTGCCTCGTTAGAAATACCTAATAAACAAACTTAGAACATAAACCCAACGGACCAATCATATGCTCATTCTCTCTTTGACTTGTAATGCATACTAGTAAATAATATTATTCCTAATATTACTTACCAATGTAAAGAGCTTGAACATTTCTGCCAGGAAAACAGAATCTTAATTCAGTAGTCGAGCCTCATCTTTTTTCATGTCCCTTCCCCGGACCCCAACACTGGATGTTATGTATTACATCCTAACCGGAATAATAACTATTGTCTTCTATAAAACCTTGGGGAACTGCTTTCCACTGTGCCTTTATGAAAATGGAACATATAGCTATTGATGATTAGAGTGTGAATGGTCTTGGTGCGGCGGTGCCTATAGTCTGGAGAGATATTGTAGGACTAACCCCTACCATAAATATAGAAATAAGAATAAATAATAACAGAATAAAAAATCCCACTAAACGATATGTGTTACATTTACCTTTTGTAGATTCTTTGCAGTTTTGGGATTCTTATTGCACCTAGGGATGTGAAGGAGTTAGCTAAAAAGTAAAAACTAGTATTTATTTGACATTATATTATTTTACCCCAATTTTTCTTTCAGTTGGATGTTCCCATGAATATTTAGATTAATACCCCGATGAATTTTAAATTTCTTATTTTTTCAGATTCATTGCGTCTTTTCAGGTTGATACAAAACGACGCCGCAGGTGATTTTACATCAGTCCGTATGCAAACAAATGAAATAAGTGAACGAGCAGATATAAGAATGGAAATGAACTAGGCACTTGAGGCCCATCTATTTAAATAGGCCAACTTTATAATGTATCAAGTATGTGTATTATTAGGTAGAGATTGTTATAGATTGTACTAAATTATGGCATTTTACTAACTCTGATAAACAGTGTCCCATCTCTCCTGTGTGGTAGATGCAAAAAGGTGTGTGGATTATGATGTATATTATGCTTTATTATGACTCGTTTTATCTGTGGCTTCTGCGTGTATCGTGTGCAGGCATCTGCAGCGTGTACACTTATTTTGTATCTATATTTGTCCCTTCAGTTCGTCTCTTTGAGTTGCAGGATGTAAAAGCCTCTTTCAATGTTGAGTGTCAAAATTGGAGGTCCATCACATTTGGAGCTATATTACACAGGTACATTGCACGGCTTTGTAATAACTAATAATACTATGAAATTACGGGATTCAAGAAACTTATATATGAACTGTTTGGATATGATTAATGCCATTATAATTGATAAATTTGATGGAACTTTTTTTGATGTGTTTGGCAGTAATTGCCTTGCATATAATCGGTTTGAATAAGAAGTATATCTCTGTACATTCCAAAACCCTACTATTTTTCAATCTTGAAAATTGGTGGACAATTTGTGGAGAAGCCATGAGACGTCGTTTCTTGCCGAATTCTGTTTTGACTTTTATATTATTTATTTATGTCTCTTAACGTAAAATTAGTTTTGTTGTTGAATTTGGANTATCATGCCTTTTGGTTTATCAACGTGCCAAGTAGCTTAGGCTCCATGAAAATGAAATAATGTCTGGATTAAATGTATTGTAAAATATTAAAAAGTCTCGCTAAAAAATTGCATGAGAGTTCAACCCTCTCATGTCATCCACAGAGGTGGCAGTTGGCTGGGTCTGATTTTTGAATTTTTTTACAAAACTACAATATTAAAATAAAATCATACATAAACTAGCGATAAACTCCAAAAAAAATGCAATATAAAAATCAATAATCAAAATAAGCTGCAAATCAACCGTTCATAAACTGTAATAATATATCTGTAATTATATAGAAACATTCATAATATACAAATGTAATATAATTTGCAATGAAATTTTCTCTAGGTTTAAAACCCCAAGCCCAGTCTTTATACACAAAAATTAATATTTTAGTCTGGGAAGGCCAAGTCCATTTGGCCCATTTTTTCATTTCTAGAAAAAGACCTCAGCCTGTCTTTTTTCAAACTGGGTCAGCTTAAGGCCCCATCTGTAATCACAGATTATCTCCAATAGCAAATAATCTATATTCATTTCAACCATTACTCATTTGAAACAGTGCCTAGCCGCTTAAACGCATTGTCCATTACTTACATCTATGGTTTTTAGATTTTAGTATACAGTAAATGCTCAAGAATCACCCTCCTTTTGTGTTGGATTTGTTTTTTTCTGGAAGTGACTAAAGAAATCTCGAAAATTGCAGCATCCATCTAACTCGTCTTTGCTCTTTTCCATACAATGACAGTGCCACCAAAATCGGATGAAGCCAACAAATTCTCTCCATAATTCCAAGTAATGCCTATCACCGGGTAGCTATGACCCTGCAAGTTGGAATCAATCGCCAACATTAAATTGGATGCGTACTTTTTTTTTTTTCGAAACAAAAGATTTCATAAATAAACACACATAATTACAACTAAACAACAACTAGAATTAGTCAAACAGCCGTCTAGTTGAATCTAGCTGGAGGATGTCTCGAAATCGGGAGCTTAGGGCATGTTTAATTCACTCACATTCAATTCATACTCAAAATCTAACTCAACTAGCATTCGATCATGTGCACATGTACAGATGCAAATAAAATTTTATATGTTATATGTATGTGTAAATTTAAATCATAAGTTAAATACCGAACATATTATATTTTATAAATTCTATCAATAGTAAAAATGAACGAATAAATATGAATTATTAACTTACATATCAATATTCATATTGATTGCAGTTATATAATTTTTGCAATCTTTTTTTATTTTGAACAATTGGTTAGATAAAACAATATTGAAATTATTATTATCGCAATTGTATACGAAATTTTAAAAAGTTTGTTTATATCATAAAAATTAAATTACTAAAGTTAATAAAAAACTTGCTTAATGAGTTACAATAAAAAAAATAATTTAAGTTTCTAGAAAAAAAAAATATATCAAACGGCGCAATGCACCTTGGGTCGCTACGGAAACAGCCTCCTTGTATAATTACAAGGGTAAGGTCTGCGTACAACTGACCCCCCAGACCCCAACCTGTTGGGAATATATTGGGTATGTTGTTGTTGTTGTTGTAATTATAATATCATTCAATGTAACTTTATGATTTGTTAGTAGTAATTATTATATAATAAAATAAATAAAAAATAATTTAATTAATGCAAAGTAACGTCTTTTGGAGGGAAAAGTTTTGAGGTTTTATTAAATGCTTGGCTAGTAATTATATATATATAGATAGATAAGAAGACCCTCCAGCCAACCCCACTATCCTTAATATTATCAATATAATTAAATAATACAAACCAATCAGTTTGACACATTATATCAATTTTGAATCACTATTCATCCACTCACATAATTTTAACTATCACTTCACATAATTTCTCGCATACTTTTACATCTAATCAACTCTAATTATTTTATTTTAAATATTATTTTAATTTAAAATCAAAATTTCGCTAACAACTAACCATCCAATTTTTTCATAATTAACCCTGTTAATCGAAAAAACTCATTTTGAGCATGTTTATTTGTAAACAAGCACGCCCTAGAGAACTATGCTAACTCACCCACGAAACAAACAACGATAAATTGGATATGTACTTTAAAAGTTGAAAAACTCAATAAATATTAGAACAAACCTGCAATTTGTTCACACATGTATGCCTCGGCCGTGTTAAGTCGTAGAAGTAGACACTTGCATCCTCACTCCCAGCAACTAAAGACAAAGAGCCTCAGGAAATCAGAAACCATTGCCTTTTTGTTTGTTTGTCCAAAGAACACATTTCGGTGCAGTTATATTATTTGCAATCGTACCTATAAATTCTCCTTTCTCAAGGGAAAGCAAAGGGCAGAAAGAGGCACGAATGCTGTGTAAACGTGGTGCCAATTTAAGTGCACAACGAAGGGTCAAATAGCCTTGCACCTCCAAAGAAACACTGCAACATAAAAATCAACCAAAATATTTGCCGTTGGATCACGTTGGGATAATTACATAACTGCCCACATTAATAGTATAATTTCCCTTTGCTTTGCTCCACAAAGAGAGGTTTATAACTATAGTTTAAGAAAAACCCAACCAGTGTGGTTGGGGAAGTAAAAGGTAAAGATACCAAATATACCCCCTAAATAAATTGTTATATTTCTATGGCTTTCTTGTTCATAGCCACATAAACTGAACAAGGCCAACAATGGAATTTCACAAATAAATACTCTGTTTGAACTTTAAAGCAACATTCCTATCTTTTGTTGTATTTATAAAGGCTCTTTTGTTCATAGCCATATAAACTGAAGAAGGCTTACAATGGAATTTGACATTATAATAAATACCCTGTTTAAAGTAACATGCCTATTTTCGTGGGAAACTTGAATTAGTAATGGTGTTTATTTTGGTGGTATGGAGGGCGTACAAAATATATAATTATTGCATTCTCTATAATGGCAATGGCCAATGTGTGAAATAAAATATGTTTGAGGGAGTATTTGAATTTGGAAAGAAACAATGAAGCTCGATTAGAAAAACTATGCATAAAAAAAAAAAAATCTTTTACGATTAGAATAATACCCCATAATTTTAAAGTATCCCAATCATGTACTCTAAACTCATATATGTATTGTAAAGGCAAAAGTACAATGGAAACTAACCTGAAGAAAGACAAGCTTCCGTCCCGACACAAAGTCAACAACACGGGGCCCCGTGCCAGCAAAGAGAAGGTTCTGTACTGCACTGTGGTGACTGGTGATTTATTCTTATTTTAACTCATCCCTACTATCCTCAATATTATTAATATTTAATTAAATAATAGCAATTAATCATCCCTACACATCACATCAACTTTAATTCACTATTTATCCACTCATGTTGTTTTAATTACCCATCACTTCCAATCACATATGTCCTACTTTCACATCTATCCTAATTTTACATCAAATAAACTTTAATAATTTTATTTTAATACAAAGTCAAAATCCCACTCAAACCTAACTCGACCAACTTTTTCAAAATTAACTATGGTTAACCAAAAAAACCAATCAAAACCAAAGATATTTATAAACAAGCATGCCCTTTAAGCAAAAATTGTCTGCAACATTAACATTAACAGCAGTAAAGAAAGCTCCATGACAACCAGCAAATACCTGAGCATCGCCACAGAAGATAAGGTGGCCCGTGTGGTCATGGTCCATGGCTGTCACCTCACTGTCGAATACAGATTTATTGATTGTCCGACCGGTGCTGAAATTGAACACCTGGAAAATGCAAGTTACATAAAAATGAGATGAGCAAGTTTTTGGAAAAGCATGAAGTATCCTGTGGAAGGAGGAGCAGCAGTAGATACAGTTACTGTATTTTCCTGCAACTGAAGGCTTTGGTTTTCCAGATTTTTGGAAAATCTAATATTCAGGAAATATAAAAGAAGAAAAATATGTAAAACGATTTATGCAATGAATTTTAGCAACAGCAGAATAATGATGCATAAAGCGTAATACATAGGTTGTTTTGGAGGCAAGTTAATTAATTTGGGGTGGTATCTAAAACGATATGCTGTAGTTTGCGCAATTAGCACATTTTTTTTAGTGAAGAAAAATAGTGATTGAAAAACAAAAAGTATATATATTAAATTGAGGTGATGGAATTGGCAAAAGTAAGGTAAGAATTACCATTATCTCTTTATTAGCATTGCCAACGGAAAGAAAATTGTTATTCACCTGCACATATGTAGAGAGGAAATAAAACTTCTTTCACAATGTAATGAATTGGGAAGTAGTATCAGTCATCATGTACTCACAGGATGAAAGCGAATACAAAGCTGTGATGAGACTCCATAAATCACTCTCATACATATGCCTTTCGAGATATCCCATACTCGTACTGTCTTATCAATCGAGGCAGAAGCAATATACTGATTGTTCGCTGAGAAGTCAAAATCTGGAATGGATAGACATTAAAATCCCACGGACAAAAAAATCCTCTCTCTCTGCCTATTGAACGACCACGAAAGCAAATCTGCTTTTATTGCAAAAAATCTCATAGAATAATCATCAATCATCACAAAATCACACAGGAGCAGGGATGAATAAACATAAACAAAGTTTTGTATCCTGAACTTTATAAAGCCACTAGAGGCATTCCTACTATAATTCTGCTACCAAGGATGAAAGTCGTAACATTTATTAGGGCATGATTGTATATAATTTCAACAGTAAATATCTCAGTCAAAACTCAAATTTAACTCAACCTTAACTCAACTCTACTATCTCCAATATTATCAATATAATTAAACAATATCAACCAATCATTATTACATATCACATCAACTTTAATTCACTATTCATTCACTCACACAATTTTAACTAACTATCACTTCCAATCATTTTCTCATACTTTTATATCAAATCAACTTTAATTATTTTAATTTAAATAATATTTTAATATATCCACTAACAACTAACCATACTACTTTTTTAACACTTAACTATAGTTAAAAAAAAAAACTAGTTTTTTACTAGTTGAAATCATATCCAATCACCCCCTTAATGATTTTCTAAGAAGAGACTGTTCGAGTGTCCAGTCGAACATGAAATGAAAATAACAGGGATTAACAATACAGTAACTCACTACACCATCCTCCTTTATGGAGCTCTGTCATTTAAGATATTGAGTTATTGAATATAGTCACTGTGCAATGCTGATGTATCTGGGCAGTTACCAATCACAAGTGGCATATAATACAAGATGATTCCATTAACGGGTGTTCACAGATATAAATAAAAAGTTAAAAACCAGTATAGACATGAAGAAAAGATTAAATAGTACCAGTCAATCCAACCTGTGACATCTTTTGTGTGTCCTGTTAACTGCTTTAAAATTGACGGTGGCATGGAGACGCTGCAGACAGTCAAGCTTCCATCAGCTGCTCCATAAGCGAGCAGATCTGAACTCATATGGCCAAATTTTATGACCGTAACTATAGAACAATAAAAAAAGCTCATTGGTTTCCAATGAACAGCAGTCCATAATTTGGATTTATATATATATGATTCAACAAAATCTGATTATAATGTCAGTAATTAGTAATTACCCATGGCCTTGCATTGGTCGAAAATGCAGTGCATTCCTACAAAGGAATATGCAGGTTCACCCTTTTTACGAGGGAACTCAATATCACTTGTGCTAGAACTGAAACTTGTCCTATGGCTCATTGCTTGGCTAAAACTTCGGACATCCTATAAATAGGTCAACATTAGAATATATTGATATGATGTTTCACAAACAGAAAAGATAAATATTGTAGATGTGGCTACTAATAAGAAGTTCCATTTATCCTATTCATCGTCGGCTTGTCGCCAGAGCCAACACCTGAAACTTCACAGATGAGTAATGACTTCAACCGGGGAAAATAGTTCGAGTAAACCTTCTTACACAACGATGCCTACAAAATATTTCACATAATCTACTTAAGCACCCAACACTGAACGTGAATCAACTATCACCCTACTGCTAAATTCATTAAATGAAGTAAATTTGAATATTATAATTTGTGCTCTTACCAACCAGTCATCTTAACTAAACCCTTGCAGCTATTTGCACAAATAATTAACTTCAGTGAAACTCTTACAGCATGGTTTTAAAGAACACCCGAATACTCTTCTATTGACACTTAAGTGATTCTCAAATAACGTGCAAATAGAAATCAGGAACGAAGGTGATAAGAGGGGGATCATACCCTGCTAGTACTCCAGCTGTCTGCGTCAAAGAATGGTGATAGTGGACTTGAAGTTGACACCCATCGTCCACTGATGCATCAACCAGTAAATTAACCTGATGTGAGAATTGCGTGGAAGAAAAACTTAAATAATAAACTTACATCATAAACATTTATAAATATGAACTTAATAACATCTTGTAATTACAAGTAGGAATATATTGCACACAAACAAGTTTTAGTAGGAATATATTTTCATGAAAAAGTTTGAGTTTGCTTTTGGGAGATATACACTTGGTAAAGGTTACAGCAGATTATGTCACACAACCAGAACCAGAATTTAGCAACCTGTTTCCTGGAGTACTCGGGGCGCTTGGTGTCTGTAAACTGTCTCCATTTTTCGGTCTATTAATGTAATTTCGGTAGGCAACATAACCTCTTCCATTACATCTCCAGTCCTGCATCATGCAACCAGCACATATAATAGGATCAAATGATGAAATGAACTTAAGTACATTGTACTGTACATGAAGAAACTCGTTTAATATGTACAAAGGTAAATTGTCCAGAAGTTCCATCAAAGGATACAACTATGCTACACGGAATCAAAACACTAAACTGTGCTGCTATAACAATGTTTTCATTTTATGCGCTTTGGCATGCGATTATTAACCTGGACATTTACTTAAAACAGTTTTTATTAAGCGCAATCACAATGATCATGCATAGTATTACTTATTTCAACTACAACTTCAATCTCGAAATGAAGCTTCGAATAGCTGTATGCTCGTAATTTCGACAAAAACAATGCTTAACAGAATGCAGTAGAAATGGATACTAAAGCTCATTGACCTTCCAATCTCATAAAAAAAAAAAAAAACAAAAGAATGCGTCTATTATCAACCACCAATGCTTCAATGGCGCACTCTTCTACAAAACACGCTCCATCTCCGACATGTGTGCACATTTCACAAATTGAGATACATTAAATGCTCGCAACGGGCAACGTAAAAGGTACCTTACGGCGGAGAACGCCGGCCTCCGCCTTGCGGTACAGGAGGAGACGGCGGATTCCGATATAATTGGGATCGGAATCGCGAGGCGAAGGCTGAAGCAGACAACTGAACAACTCTGGATCCGAACTCAAATCCTCTTTCTTATTGTCTCCGTTCTGAGATTTCGGATCTTCTTCTCGCGGCGTGATTACACCAGCCGTTGGATCCGCCATTGATGCGAACCAAGCTCAATCTCAACTCCTCCTCATTAGCTAAAACACCTTCTAGATTTTCCTCCGGCAATGAAGATCACGAAGCTTGAAGGTGTTTGATCGGAAATTCGAAGGTGATAGCTCCTCCGATTGAAGGAATTGTTCGCCGCTACACAGATTTTTGCTGGTGTTTTGATTTTCGCAGTGATCTTTTGGCGATGAAGAGATGCACGGTGATTGTGTAGAGTAGCTTTTTGCTTCAATTTTGACTTTCCTCTCTTTACATTTTTATTTGGAAAGTGAATTAGATTTGTCTTTTGCTTCTCTCATTTATGATGCAATTTTTTATTTTAGGATTTTTCACGAAAGGTTTTGAACCGTGGGTTCAAGGAGCTCGGTTCCCTTTAATAGATAATCGGCCCGTCGGATTCGATGGTTCCGGTACACGAACCGGCCAGTTTCGGTTAGAAATCTCTTTTGATTTATTTTTTATATATTCTTTCTTTCTAAATTAATATGATTTTTTATTTTTTTAGTAACGGTGTAAAAAAAAATGAATTGGGGACTCTATAATATTTGAATTAAAATATTTATTTTATTTTGAGAATCAACATCATCGTAGTTTATATTTATTAAAGTAAATTTTATAACTTTTTCAAGGTCTACGGTTTCAATAGTAATATTAAGATCATTTGTTTCTTCGTCTATCTCAAGTGCTCCTATAAAGTGAGCTACAATTTTGAATATTTCAAGTTTGTGATTGCGACCTAGATGGATCAAATGTTAGTGGCCAAAAAATATTTGTTATAATTTGACATTTTCAACTAGCTATCTATCATTTACAAAAATTTGACTTATTAGCCTATAAATAAATAAATAACAAATATGAACTAATCTATATTTCATATTTTGATTTCAACTAATATTTTGAAGCTAATAAATAATAATATAATATCTTATTTAGTAAAAAAGTCAATCTCTACTTTGAAATCATAGATTTAAAATATAAGTATTTTTCATGTAATGTTTGAAAACTTGGTATATATATCTATATATATATATATATATATATATATANATGTGTTAACTTATGTTTCACACTAACGTTGAAAAAAAAAGTTAAAATGTCTATTTGAATTGATATCAGGACTACATTAAATACGAAAAAAAAATCAAAATAAGTTAAAAAGAAAACTAAATTATAATATGAAAAAAAACTTAAAAACTTTGAAAAAAACTAAATTGTAAGTATTATATATAAATTGATATATTATAATTTTAAAAACTTAAGGTGTATGTATTATATTTAAATTAGTATCAGAGCTAGATTAAATAATAATACATAGTCTAGATCTATACCAATTTGAAACATAATAATACAACTCAAGATGTCTTGTGAAAGACAAATATGCATTATAAAAAGTGTGAAATATTATTTTTCTGCTCGATGTGGGAGTGTTTCTCTATGTACAGTTCACTACAGCTCAAACACCACACTTGACACTACCTCACATGAAAAGCATAGTCCCATTCAACCGATAATATGTTTCAATCTTTTCTAAACTTGCACGATCCAAACTTTAGAAGACTAGCATCATGAACCCAAATTTCTTAATATTGACTCTGAAATTCGAAAAACACATTACCACGTTAAAGTTTCTAGAACTGGAGGATTCGTGTTCAAAAGGCAACTGACAATTCCATCTACGATTACGTAGAACACAAAATGACAACCAAAAAATATGAATTATTTCCTACAAGAATGAGCTTCATAAAATCATCAATTGTATTCATGTGTCCATTGAAAAACTACATGGCTTGAAGTGTTAGAGTGATTTTGTGAATATTGTATTTTTGGTATAAATAGATTTTGATATCTTAGAGATTTGGAGTATATTATTTTAAGGTTTCTTTTGTATCTATATATTGAGGGCTCTGGTAAATCAATGGGACATAAGGTTTTTGAGTGAATGAATTATTTTCACATATTTGTCATGGTATCAAAGTTTGGTTAAAATTCTTTTTTAGGATTTTTAGTCTCGATCAACTGAGACTTGTTCCTTTAGTTAGTCTCTTCTCGGTCTCTCTCGATCAACAGAGAGAGCCACAAAAAAAAAATCAGATTTCTTGGCTTAGCTCAATAGAAACGAGCCAAATAATTNGGAACTTCTGCTCACGCTGGGATACAAGTTGGTCGTGACGGATACGGTGACGGACCAGCCGTTGCCAGTCTTGTCAACGCCGCCTTCGGTAATGGGGCTGCACTTAGTACCTCTGGCTCCATACAGGACGAGTCAACATCCTCAATGACAAACTCCGATCGAACAGCCATTTCTGGGTTAACTGATGCTCAATGGGAGTCTATTGTCCACTTCGTCACTTCTGCCCGCAACAATGCTCCTTTGTTCCGTAAGCGTAGTCCTTATGAGTGAATGTATGATAGCGGTGATTCACATCATATGGCGGGTTACTTAGAATTTTTTTTTTTTCTGATATTCGGGATATTCCGCCCTGGTCTGTGCAGTTACCTAATGGCACGCTCATCACTGCATGCAAAGCTGGAACTGTTCAGCTCGGTTCTCGTATTATTTTATATGATGTTTTGTTCGTTGACAGTCTTCAGTGCAGCTTGATATCTTTATCTCGGTTATTGGAACAATCTGGCTGTGTTGCTACCTTCACAAATAAATATTGTGCTATTCAGGACCTCACTTCGAGGACGGTGATTGGAGCGGGTGAGCAATTGGGGGGACTCTATTTTTTTCGAGGGGTAATCACTGTCAATGCTTCTCGGGTATCTTCGGTTATGCAACACTTGTGGCACCAGCGGATGGGTCATGCATCTTCTACTGTTCTTGGTCAATTGCATTTTGTCGAGTCTCGCTCATTGGTCTCGAATAAAGCTTGTGATGTTTGTTGTCGGGCGAAGCAATCTCGTGCTAGCTTTCCTCTCAGTCGTAGTCTTAGTAGTTCCATCTTCAGTCTGGTTCATTGTGATGTGTGGAGACCTTATAGAGTTCCTGCCTTTAGTGATGCTCGATATTTTTTGACTATTGTTGACGACTATTCTCGAGATACTTGGATTTTCTTATTGGATGACAAATCTTCGGTGTCTTCTACTCTACTGCAATTTTTTGCTTTTGTCAAAAGACAATGTGGTGTGTTGGTTAAAACTCTTCGCAGTGACAATGGGACTGAATATACTTAGATGCGCGATTATTTCCGTCAAGAGGGGATTGTTCATGAAACTTCTTGTGTCGGAACTCCTCAACAAAATGGACGTGCTGAGCGCAAACATCAGCACATTCTTAATGTTGCTCGAGCATTACGTTTTCAGGCTCATTTACCGATTGAATTCTGGGGACATTGTGTACTTGCTGCTGGCTATTTGATCAATCGAACGCCTACTCCTCTTTTATCCGGCAAGACTCCCTATGAACTTTTGTATGGCGAACCTCCCAACTATGCGCATTTACGTGTTTTTGGTTGTTTGTGTTACGTGCACAATCAGAACAGGGACGGTGATAAGTTTGCAAGTCGGAGTCGTCGATGTGTTTTTGTTGGCTATCCATCTGCTCAAAAGGGGTGGTGTGTTTATGATTTCGACAACCGCACTTTTCTGGTCTTACGTGATGTGGAATTCTGTGAATCAGAGTTCCCTTATTTGACGTCTCCAGCTCTTGATATTGCCTCCGTACCTGTGATTCCATGGCCTACTGTTTCTGACGATGATGATGATGTGGTGGCTTCCACTACAACGCGTAACGCTGCCACTGGGGGTTCTAAGGTCATTATCGATAGGGGGGTAATCCTCCCCAAGAGGAAGTGCTGGGACGTGGTCATTGTCTCAAGAGGCCGTCTTTCCATCTTGTCGACTTTGTCTCTCACACTACTTGTTCCTCGCCCCCCTATGCTGCCTCCTCCATCGCGTCATCATCTGGTACTCCTTACCCTCTCGCACATTATGTTTCTTGTGATTCATTTTCACCTGCACATCCGTCATTTCTGGCAGTCATTTCTTCTGCTGTTGAGCCTCGGACCTTTTCTGAGGCTGTTCGAGATAGCCGCTAGCGTTCGGCTATGCAACTGGAGATTCGAGCATTAGAATCGAACCGTACGTGGGATATTGTTTCTCTTCCTACTGAGAAATACGCGATTGGTTGCAAGTGGATTTATAAAATTAAATATAACTCTGATGGTTCTGTTGAGCGCTACAAGGCGCGTTTGGTCGTCTTGGGTAACCGGCAGGTGAAGGGCATTGACTATCAGAAGACATTTGCACCCGTCGCCAAGATGGTTACTGTACGGACTTTTCTTTCTGTTGCAACTGCTCGACATTGGGAGGTTCATCAGATGGACGTGCACAATGCGTTCTTGCATGGGGATCTGTCTGAGGAGGTCTACATGAAACTTCCTCCTGGTTTTCATTCGTCTGATCCTGGTAAGGTTTGTCGATTACGCCGATCTCTGTATGGTTTAACGCAAGCTCCTCGTTATTGGTTTGCAAAGCTTACTACTGCTCTTAAACATTATGGTTTTGAGCAGTCTTATTCTTATTACTCATTTTTCACTCTACATCGAGATTCTACGCACTTGCATGTCCTTGTTTATGTCAATGATCTCATCATTTCTGGAAGCGATCCGGCTGCTATTACAGCTTTTAAGGAGTACTTGGGTCGCTGTTTTCATATGAAGGATTTGGGAGTCTTGAAATATTTTTTGGGCATTGAGGTTGCTCGGAATTCATCTGGCATATTTATGTGTCAGTGGAAATACACTCTAGACATAGTTGCCGAAGCTGGCTTACTTGGTAGCAAGCCTGCTGATACACCTATGGAGCAGAATCACCAGCTTCCACTGGTCGATGGTTCGTTGTTCTCTGATTCTGAGCGATATCGACGGCTAGTGGGTCATTTGATTTATTTAGCTGTCACTCGTCCCGACTTGTCTTATGTTGTGCACATGCTCTTTCTGTTTATGCATCAGCCTTGTCAGACACACTGGGATGCCGCTACTCGTGTGGTACGTTATTTGAAGGATACTCCGAGCCAGAGTATTCTTCTTCGGTCTGATTGTGACTTATAAGTCTATGGTTGGTGTGACTCCGATTGGGCAATATGCCCCACTACTCGACGGTCTCTCACTGGTTGGTTCGTCCAACTTGGCCGTTCTCCAATATCATGGCGTACTAAAAAGCAGCACACAGTTGCTCGCTCTTCTGCCAAGGCTGAGTATTGTGCTATTGCGACGCTTACTTGTGAGTTGAAATGGTTACGGGGTTTACTTCGCTGTCTTGGTGTGGCTCATTCTCAGCCGATGCGGATTCATTGTGACAGTCAAGTGGCGCTTCATCTTGCTGCTAATCCTATCTTTCATGAGCGCACCAAGCACATTGAAGTTGACTGTCATTTTCTTCGTGATGCTCTTGTTCAAGGTCTCATTTCTACCGCTCATGTTTCCACTCATTCTCAATTGGCGGACATCTTCACCAAGGCCTTGGGAAAACGCGAGTTTGATTTTTTTCTTGGCAAATTGGACATCCGAAATCCGCATGCTCCAACTTGAGGGGGGGATTTTGTGACTATTGTATTTTTGGTATAAATAGATTTTGGTATCTTAGAGATTTGGAGTATATTATTTTGGACTTCTTTTGTATCTATATATTGGGAGCTCTGGTAAATCAATGGGACATACGGTTTTTGAGTGAATGAATTATTTTCACATATTTGTCAGGTTTGTTTTCACCCTGCAATGCAATTGCCAATTCCTTAAGTCATAGGCTCATCCTAATCAATTTACAATTAGTAAGTTACAGAAATTATTAGAGTAAAATGAACTGTTTGATTGTTGAGTAAACAAAAAATCAAGGAAAGTAATAAATACATAAACAATTAAGCACAAAAGAAAGCAAGTCTAAATGATCTACATTATCTATATCTATATCTATAACCTATAAATCCTAAAAGGATGAGTCATTTCTTGAAAATTTTCAAATGCCCATATTACCCTATAGAGATTTACATTTTAAGGACATAAATGTAATATTATAACTTCATTACTATCTCATCACTACTACCCCTCAATAGAAAATAATGTTACTTCCAAAAAATAATGTTACAACTAATATTATTATGTCTTATATTCTAAAATACATTACTGCTTATGATATAAACAATTACAATTGTTTCAAGTAAGAATTTAATTTTTAATTAGAATGATTTAATGTGATGGTTTCATCATGAATGTGATAACATAATACTCATTTTTTTTTTTAATATTCATTTTGTATTTTATAATTAATAACTTTTTTTCTAATGTTAATCTATTAAAAAAATTGATTTGTATCCAATTCTTTAAATGAATATATTGGCACAATTACATAACTAAATAAATAAGATTTCTGTCTTTTTTTTAACGAATGTATTGTCATCACAACTACATAAATAAGATTTTGCATGTTTTATCTATTTCCCAATGTATATAAATATAAATGATGATCTACACAAATGTTTTAAAATATTTTTTTAAACTTCATAAATACGATTTTGCATATAAAAATATGCACAATTCTTATAGTGCAAAGCCAACAAAATAAACAATTTAAATTATAATTAGAATGATTTAATGTGATGTTTTCATCATGAATGTGATGACATATACTCAATTCTGTTTTTTTTTTTAATATTCCTTGTGTATTTTATAATTAATAATTTTTTTCTAATATTAATCTATTAAAAAAAATTTATTGATTGTATCCAATTGTTTAAATGAATGTATTGGCACAATTACATACCTGAATAAATGAGATTTCTATCTTTAAATTGTTTATTAATGTTTTGTCATCACAACTACATAACTAAGATTTTACATGTTTTATCTATTTCTCTGCTTTTTATGTATATAAATATAAATAATGTTTTATCTACACAAATGTTTTAAAATATTTTTTAAACTTCATAAAAACGATTTTGCATATACAAATATGCACAATTCTTATAGTGCAAAGCCAACAAAATAAATCAGTTTTCCAACATCACTGTGCATTAACTTTTTAATTAAATGTGGGGAACTATCATTTTCAAAAATTAATACAAGAGGAAGACTGACGGTTGAATGTTGGTAGAATTTTGCAAGACAAAGAATAAATCATTTTGAAAAGCTGATAGAATTCACCATTCACTATCATTTCCAATTTTACTTAAACTCTTCCCTTTTCTGTTCCTCGTAATTTTTAATTTTATTTTTATTCTTATTAATTTTATATCTATTTGATCATATCCTTTACGCGAACTCTGTTTGTCGACCATGAAATCGGCACGGCTCTTTTCATATTACGCGACCATGAAATCGACACGGTTCTTTTCATATTATGCGACCGCAAGACAGTGAATTAGCTCCGGACTAAAGTTCTGAAATCTCAGCCTCCTTAATTCCATAAGTTTTTCTTCACTGTCATTTTTCATAATGTTTGTTTTCACTGTAATTATCCCAAATTTTTATACGCCTAAATAAAACACACAAAAGCATAGAATGAAAAATTTGGTTTTGATTAGATAGTAAGTTCTAAAACATTATTTGTAGAAAAACTTGGCTTTGATTTAGTTTTAAATTTAAGTTTATGCTAAAACAACGTAGGGAAAGTTTGAAATTTTTCTGCTTATGGAAGAGGAAAATGATAAGAGCATGAAAATTCAAGTAAATCATTAAAAGGAGACGAATGAGAGATTCTATCTTTTTCTTTCTTTTTTTTTTCTTCTTTGTTTTGCGCAGTCAACCCAAAAATGGGGTTAAATCCCTCTATCTGTGTCTGAGTTTGCCATTGTTCTGATTCTTGAAGCAGAAGTCTGTTGAGCTCACCAATTTTCCACTTTTGAAATTAAATTCTATATGTTTATTGGATTTTTTATTTGATTAAATTCACTGCTTTTTGTTTTTTAGAATTGTTTTTTGTTAGTTTCAAAAGCTCCATTTCTTATATTTTGTAACTAATATTTGTAAATATTAAATATATTTGTGCATAAACAATAAGTATTGTGGAATTTTCATTAACAAAGCTTTGTCTTGCAGCATTTGTATCAACCAGGGATGTAGTTACAAAATTGTTTTTTCTTTTCAGGATCCACTAAACAAATTGAAATGTATGGACGTTCATCTATGCCAAGTACTTCTTCAGGTAAATCATATTTAATATAATTTTTTCTTTAAATTCCAAATAATATAATATGGGGCATATGTCTATTTGTTTATTTTAAATAAGTGTGTGATAAACATATACCATACTCTTCTTATTTTCATATTATAGCCCAAAGCTGTTTATCGACAAAGAAATCTTGAAAAGATGAAAAGAAAATATGCTGACTTTGATTCTGCGAAGAAGAAGGACTATATTGATAAAGTTAGAAGCAGGAACAAGCTAAGGAATCCACAAGATAAGTGGTTTTTGAGAGCTCAAATAACAATGAATGAGTCCGAAGGTATTGAACAATATTTAATATATTTTGCGCAGTTATATTATTGAATAATTTTTCTAGAACTCTGTTTTGTAACACTATCCTAGGTTCAATTGATACGAGTCTAAATAGTAGCCCACAAACACATGAATGGAAGAAAGTTCAAAAGTGCAGTTATTGTGATGCTGCTAGATTTCAGTACGAGCCTCTGACTTTTTTTGTTGTGACAAGGGAAAAGTTAAAATTGCACCCATTGATGTCCCAGACGAACTTTATGAATTGTCACTTCAGATTCTGAAGAGTCGAATGCATTTCGTAAATCTATTCGCCAACTACATAGCATTTTCTCTTTCACATCATTTGGTGTAAAGTTAGATCTAGCTTCTGCAAGACGAGGAGTTTATTCCGTGCACAAGGAATGGTTTACCATGATCTTCCAGGGCTTATACCAAATGAAAGGGGTCCTGGTTATTTTCAGTTATATTTTGTGGAGACGGAAAATGAAGTGAAAAACAAAATGAGGATTTTCGAAGATTCATCATTAAGCGAATCTATGGTGAAGAAAGTCATGGATATTTTAGAGATCAATCCTTATGCGAGGATCTTCAGAAGATTGAAAGATATCTCTTCGATTGATGATATCCACCTTCATACTGCAAAAGACGTGAAACTAGATCAACGTGTTTATAATTCTCCAACAGCGGATCAAGTAGTTGCGACATGGGTAGAAGGAAATAACAATGATGTACCATTTGAGCGTGACATTATCGTCCATGCGCATTCAAGATATAGACACAGAATAAAACACTACTTTGGATGTTATGACCCATTGCAATATTCTCTTCTTTTTCCAATGGGTGATTCAGGGTGGCATAAAAATATCAGAAAAATACTACCAGATAATCGTCAACTTCAAACAGGTACGTTTTTCCTTAAAGTCAATCAATTTGCTTATATAACAATGCTACTTTAATTATTTTGTCCCATTATATGCATAATTTTAAAAAATTTTAAAATATAATATGAATGAGTGTTTTACTAATTCTATTTCATGCATATATCCAACGGCACAGGACAGCACATGACATTATTTCTAAAGGGCAACAAGGTATGTAAACTCACATGTTACAAATGAAGTTATTCCGTACAATTTATTTATTTAAATTTGTACCTTATAAAATTATATTTCTTAATTTCAGTTGTGTGTAAAGAAGACGATAAAAAGGTATCTTGTAGGGAATAAAGTTGTTACAGGTTGCAAATTCGCTCTCGAAGACATTTTATATTGCTTTTTGCGGGGATATTATTACAACAGTATGCAGTTGACATGTACATAAAATTGGAGACACCAAGGTTAGACTACTGATGGGTCTACTTCTAGATCTGAAGAGAACCGATGGATTTGAGCTCAGATCTGCTTGAACCGCCTCTGAATCGTTGCTAGACCGCGAGAATACCTGCAAAAACTCAACGCCGGAGGTGTTTCCGGCGTAGAGCCTCCGACGCTCAAGTCAATATGAGAGTGATGAAGAGAGGTTGCGCAGCAGCTATGGGGGAGAGTGGAGAGTGAATGAGAGTTAGGGTTTAGGGTTACCTCATCTCCTTTATATATAAGTGAATGCTTACTTGAAGTACCCGAAATGCCCAAGTCGGTGGACCTAAAAGGTCCAAAATGCCCCGGTCAGTTCGTCTCCTCTTGCTGCCGAGTCATCACAAGAATCTCCTTTATCCCTTGAAGGATGTAGAGCTTTAAGTATGTTGCAAGTGTGATGAGTCGTCATTACATCTTTGGTCTTCGAGGCATACAGAGTCGGCCTCGAGAGCTAGGAGGTCGACTTATGATCATATGAGGATTCGGAGGCTACGCTTGGTTAGTTCTCTCGAGTGGAAGTCGTCTTAAGAGAATCGACTTAATGAAGTCGACTATTGGGAGTCGACTTAGGGTATCTGAATGCTCGGAGGTTACGCTCTTATTGTTCTTCTTATACAGATGTCGACTATTGGAAGTCGACAGACTGAGGTCGACCTATTAGAGTCGACTGGCCAGATTTCCGCCTCTTCGCGGTCGTTCTACGTAGAGTCGACTTTGCGGAAGTCGATTTGAGTATGTCGATGGGAACATATCGCCCTGTGGACGGTCTGTTTGTTATCTTGGTCGAGTAGGGTTCCAGAATCGGTATATGATAATATGGCTATATCATCTACTATCGACAAAACCAAACGAATATGAGATCGGAGCTATATCAAGGAATAAAGGATTGTCTTACAAGGAGAAACAAGAGGAAGTTATTTCTTATGAAATTTTTTTCCTACAAGTCGTGAGTGACAATGGAAGCGCATTTGTAACGTTGTTTGGAGATGCTGCAAGCGTTTATGTTGGTTGTGAAGTTTATCAATACATTCAATCAATCAATGGGGTAAATTATCATTCATTTGTTCACAATAATGTTTTTATAATTACAATAATAATATAACAAATATTATAGCACTTACCATTTATTTATTTATTATGCATATTCAGGGAGAAAATGAGTCAACTTACTATAGAGGACTGAGTTTGCAATCACCAACTCTATTCCGCTTCTTAACTACGGTCAAAAATAACAAAATGGAAGGAAGTCTCAACTTAGTAGCTGATGCAATTAAAAGAGCAGAATAAGACGGGAAAAACCTGTTAGAGAAGACTCATCACTCACAAACTCACAAATTAACAGTGGAAATCCCATCCACGTTGCTACTTTCTCAAATTCTCATTCGACTTCCAAAATTGATGCAAATAAAGGGAAAAGATTGAGAAAGAGTTCTATCAAAGAAGATGATGACATTTTTATTTCAAGTGATGATGATGATACTACCATTAGCATCATGAGGAAGAAGATGTATTTGAAAAAAAAAAATCAACTCCCAAGAAGATATCACTGTTGAAAAACATTAAAAAGGAGAAGAATTAAGTGTTTTATTTTTCATTTTAAACTTGCATTTTCTCCATGTATTATTTTCTATCATTCTATGGAAACATTATCATTACCTTCAATTTTATAATTTCTCCCCATGTTGCTTTCTATATTTTGATTAAAATTTCATCATCAAATAATTAAGAAACACGTGCATAACACGTGCAACTTCCTAGTAGAAATTAAAAGAGCCAGCTCACAAAATACAATTATATGCTCTGTTATTCGAAATAAAACTATCAGAAAATGAAGAAAATTGTTCTGTGAGGATGATTATATTTCAGGATAAGATATTAGCACGGCTTTCCTAATCGACCTTGTGACCTAATCTAACGATATACAATTTAAATTGAATGAATTTCATTTCAACAGATAACATCATATGATTTTAAGATTTAACACATCATCAACTAATCAACTTTATAACCATAGCTGATATTCAGAATCGCACATTAGGACTTTTTGAGATAGCTATGTATCTATCTATCTATCTACCATTTACATAATCTTGGCTTATTGTCATACTACTAGAGAGCAAAATATTGTAAATATATATACATTTACATTATCATCAATTTATTTATTTATATTATATAGTTGTGACATTATTCGATCATCCCTCGAAGGCTTGGAGACATATTTATTTATATCTAACTTGATACAACAAAGTCAAGTTTCAACTTCCAAGCATCACTATAAAAAGATAGAGCCTCGAAAAAAAAAATCGACAACTCATGCGCTAGCCACAGTTTCATCAATGGGATTCCAATAGCGATTGTAAAACCACTTAGAATCGGCTTTCACAGAGTACCCGTCATCATTACGGTGCCAGCTGTAAAATGCGTGGCTTCTATTTTTTATTTCTAAAGTCGCGTGCCCGAAGCTCGCCTCACGAAAGGCCGAATACTCGGGCTGTGGCTCCGTCATGCTGGAAGATAAACAAAAATTAGGATAATATTTTTTTCAGTTCGAAATATCGTTTTTTTTTTAATTTAATTAAGTTGAAAATGCAGAATATTTTCAAGCTTCGACAAAAGGACGGAATTGCCCCTTACACGGTGGCCAGGCCTTCAATGTTTCCACCATCGCCGATGGTTATGTACACAGGGGCAGATTGGTCATTCACTGGAGTGCACTCTCCGTTTACGATGTTGTATGCAGAATTTGATATGCGCTCCTGTTAAAAGTAAAGGTAATACAGCAACAATATTTGGCTAATTTTTTTTCAAGTCAATCTTTCATAAGCTCTAGCTTAGCTTATAAGAGTTTAAATGTTCCACACACGCTATCATAACTTCGATTCTGTTTGATATCTATCCAAGATTTTGCAGTTTATCGAGCCAATTTTCCGGTTTCCATCTAATGTTGCTTAGTTATTTAATGATTCAAGATAAGAAAATAAGCGCTCATGTGGAAGTAAATGTAAACCAATATATAGCTAAGCTTTTTTTGGAAATTGGAAGTCACGCTCTCACAAGGTCTAGGCTAGCTAGCTTATTTATAGTTCAAAAGTTCCACACACGCTATCTTAACTTAGATTCTATTTGATATCTAGCCAAGATACTGTAGTTTTCTGAGCCAATTTTCAGGTTTCCATCTTATGTTGATAAATAATCCACATAAATATAATAAAGCAATATTTAGCCAAGTTTTCTTGGAAATCAACTCTCACAAGCTCTAGCTAGCTTAGCTTATTAGACTATAATTAAATGTTCCACACACGCTTTCATACTTTGATTCCTTTTGATATTTAGCCGAGATCTTGCAGTTTTCCGAGCCAATTTTTTTTCCGGTTTCCATATAATGTTGCATAGTTATTTAATGGTTCAAGATAAAGAAAATAAGCAGCTAATTTCACTGAAATATATATGATTAATGTATGCTTAAATAGTACTTACAGATCGTTCGTACGCATGGACATGGCCAGCAAAGACTATGTCGACTTTGTACTTGACGAACCAAGGTTCGAATAACACTCTCATGGTCTCACCTTCCATATAATGATATTGGTAGCTGTTGTAAAATGGCGAGTGGACAAGAACAATCAACCACGGTGTTTCTTTTCGATTCACTTTTCTAAACTCGGCTCCTAACCACAAGTATTGTGGAGTGTACTTGCCTAGGAGAACAACAACATATATTCAAATTAAAAACATGCATATGATTATTTTTGCTAAATTTAGCACATATACTAGAAAAGCTTGTGAAATAACTTATTGGCTGGATTGCAAATTTGGTCCATCTAGATTATGAAGATAGCAATTTAGGTCTCACTTAACGACTTACAACATTTTAAGTCCGGTAATTTAAAATTTTGGAAAAATTTCAGTCATTTGGCTATCAAAATTCTCACTTTATATATATTTGGGATGAGTTTGATTAGCAATTTAAGTCCTATAATTTAAAATTTTGTTGCAATTTCAGTCATTGTGACAATCAAAATTGGGATTTTAACGGCTAAATGACTGAAATTGCAGCAAAACTTAAATTACAAGACTTAAAAATTGATATATGTCACTCTAGCGGGACCTAATTTGCTACCTTCATAATCTTGGACCAAAATTGCAATTTAGCTAAACTTATTGGTACCAACCAAAAGCCGAGTATGACGATAAAACAATGATATGTGCGGAAGCCCTCTTGATTGAGTACCAAAGGGGTGAAGTACTGTTTGATGCTTTATACGGGACAGGATATCGGCTAGTGTAAGGCTTAAATGGTTCCGGCTCACCCTGCAATTAACAAGTCAAGACGAGTTTATCATCGATTTTAAATGCGATCTACAATTCAAGAAGGGGACGAAAAAATTAGGATAGTAAAACATATCATACTAAAATTGCAATTTCCTCTATAACTACTATCTTCGAGGCACCTTATACTCAATTGTGTTTGTTAATCTTCAATCGTGCATCATACAATTAACATG